CAGCGAGCAGCACACACAATGACAATCACCCTGGATCTGTGCAGGGACAAGCAGAGCCATATTCTGAGTCAGGCTTGCACACAAACCCCAGAACAATCCCATTAACTTGCTTTTGTGTGAGTTATAACCCAGCACAGATCCCTTATTTCAGCTACAAGCAGCACCTGTATCTCCCAGATTAGGGCAGAGGGATCTGTTTCAAACCAATTTGACCATGAAGATTGTTGAGACCTTTTTGTGGATGAAGGAAAACACTTTTGAGGCCTAAACAAAGGAAAACACTTTTGAGGCCTAAACAGAGTTCCAAACTGTTGCAGCTTCCACTGAGGCAACACAAAGTGATTGGAATGAGCTGTACACATGACAGAAAATGGCATTTTCAGAGTGAGGGGATTGGGTCTGCTGGAAAATAAAATATAAAAATGGAATGGAGACCAAAGGCCTTGGAAGCTGAGGGGAGCTGCAAAGATGAATGGCTGCTCACAAAGCTTTAACCCACCATGGAATGCAAATTGCACAAAGACAAAAGAGCCCAGAACTTCAGGCTGAAGTGAGCCTTGAAGAGAAAATTCATTTATTTAATCCCCAGCAGACATAACTGACTGTGGGGCTCAAATACCTCTCTCTTCATGCAGACCCTGCACCCTCCCTGAAATATTATTGAAACAAGCCTGCAACTAAAGAGGAAAACAAATCCTGCTGGTCAACATGATTAATGCTCTGGCATTAGGGAGTAAATCCAGTGAAATGAGCAAACATGGAAACTGGAAACACGAATCTCCAGGTAGTGTCAGTTGTGCTTCTTGGCAAAAAGCTCCAGAACCAATTGGCAAGAGGTTTATGGGTTTATGGAGTGGGGGAGGTTCTCCTGATAGCTGTGGGTTTGAACATTGAAATCTGCATTTTCATAAAATGGAGATGCATAATATACTATATATATACATTATATTTATATATATAATCATAATAATACAATATAATAATATTATTAATATATATTATATATTACATATTACATATTATATATTATATATTATATATTATATATTATATGTTATATGTTATATGTTATATTATATATACATGTATCATATATGTACACACACATTATAATACAGATATTATCACAATCAGAAATGCCTCTAAATCTATCTTGTTACCATTAAAAGTTGCACTAAAGCTGGACCAAAATCTCTTTTTTGAAACAAAACTATTTGTACCAAATTCTAGTTTTATGTCTGAAGAACTGAGCTGCCTCTGTTTCTTGAGAAGGGACTAAAGATTGCACCCATTAGTCTGAAAGCTTTCTTCAGGTATTGAATTAAATATTCTCAGCAACCTATTTCAATTTTGGTGGAATGACAGGTTTTTCCAACACAAAAATAATTCTCTAAAACCAATGAATACTACACATTTCAATTGCCTGCATTGGTGTTTGCCATCTCTGTTATGGCACATTTTTTCCCTACTAAAAGGTGTTTAAATCCAACCAAAGAACAAGAACTTGCCAGCAAAAATCTCCCTGAGCCTGAGGAAGATTTGTCTTCTTAAAGCACTCCCAAAAGGAATTCCAGCCCCAAACATGAGGGACAGACAGACAGAGCCCACGGGTGAGGGACAGACAGACACAGCCCACGGGTGAGGGACAGACAGACACAGCCCACGTGTCTCCAGCCCTCAGTGCTTCCCAGGCTGCTCCCACCAACCCATGGGCTTTGCAAATTGTCATGGCAACACGAATTTCTTTACAAATGGCACCAGGAGAGTAAATAAGCATATAAACCCTCCCTGGAGCTGGCAATCATGTCCCTAAAGCTGGCAATCATGTCCCTTAAGCTGGCAATTATGTCCTTTAAGCTGGCGTGCCCTCCCTCAATGACAAACACGAGCAAGGGTGTCAGTGGCACGTGGGAAATCCACAGGCAGGGCAAAATCCTGTTAGGAGCCTCTAGAAAAGCACTGGGCAAGGGAAGGAAGCAGCTCCTAAAGAGCAGCACTGAGCCCTGCTCATAGAGAGATCTCAGCTCTGCCAGCACAGCTGGGATTGTTCACCTGCACAGGTTTTGGGGTGATGGAATTGTGGCCTTGCAGGGCCTGGAGAGGATGCAGGAAAGATGGAGAGGGAGTTTTTACAAGGGATGGAGGGACATGACCAGAGGAAATGGTTTCACATTGACAGAGGGCATGGATGGGATATTGGGAAGGGAGGTGAGCCCTGGCACAGGGTGTGCAGAGCAGCTGGGGCTGCCCCACCATTGGAAGTGTCCAAGGTCAGGTTGTGATGCCTCAGGTTTAGCTTTTATATTTTCACATTCTGTGCTGCTTTAGTGTGTGGGTCTGGGTTCATGTCAGGGGATGGAGAGTCCTGTGCACAGAGCAGGGAGACAAAACAATTCCTGCCCCAGCTGGGCACCAAGGACAAATGATCCCAATCTCAGCCCAGGAGCACAAACCCCGTGGGCTGCAGAGAGAAAAACAAGCAGGGTGGGACTGCAGGGGCTAAAGCTGGAATGGGACAATGAACTGCAAGGTGCAAATGGAGCAGAACTGATCCCAGGGACAGACCCCGTGCCCATTTTGGGACCATTTTGGTTCACCTTGGGTGCAGCCCTGGCTGGGCTCTTGTGCTGCCCAAGGTGCATCCACTGAGGAGATCCTTTTAATAAATCCCTGCTTTATTCTTTAACTCTGCCCTCTTTTCGTACCATAACAGCCTTCCCAAGGCATCAGTTCAGGGGTTTTTTTTCTGCAATGGGAAGAAAAACTGGAAAGGGGATCTGGATCCATTGACAGTGAAACCAATGACTTTTAAAACACAAATGCTCAGAAACCATGGAAAGGACAACATGAATTTTTTATGTGCAGCCTTGGCAGGAGAACATCAGGTGGACATTGGGGCTTGGAGCAGCCTGGGACAGTGGAAGGCGTCCCTGCCATGGTTTGGTTTTTTGGGGTTTTTTGGTTGTTGGTTTTTTTTTTTTTTTTGGGTTTTTCTTTTGTTTGTTTGTTTGTTTGGGTTTTTAGGGTTTTTTCCTCCTCTAGAAATATTACTTGTTGTAAGCAAGCATCACAGATATTTCAGATGCCCCAAGGAAATTACCTGAAGAAACCCCTCAATTGTCTTTTATTTTATTTTTTATTTAAAAAACAACATGCCTAAAGCAGAGATTTTTAAAAAATTATGCTGCCAAATCTTCCGTAGGCAGATTAAAAAAATTCATTTTGACAAATATTCCCAAATTCCTTTCTGTCTGCTTCCCAGGATCCATTTAATAATGTAATGGCCCCAGGAGAAACACTGTGTAATGTCTTTTGCAGTGCCAAAGCAGATCAGTAAATGCTGTCTGCAGCCTGTCAGGTTATACAGAGATTGTGTCACTTTCCCCCTTCAATATCACAGAAATGATGGACAATAACTGTTCCACTGTAATCCTCTCTCACTGGAATTTTTTTTTAAAAAGCACAAACTTAGCCATGATTTCCATGTTCTGCTCTACATTGGAAACAACAAACCAGGCAGATTTCCTAGTTTGAACACTTAATTCCTCCTCAGCTGCATATTCTGCTATAAAGACGGCAATCATCTGAATAATTTCTCTGTCAATTCTGCCTGAGATTTAGATTTGGAAGGAGCAAAGAGCCAAAAAATGGCAAAATCCCAGTAAAATTTGTTCCCACTGAACTGGTGGCAATGCTCTTGTCTCTCAATGGCAGAAGCACCAACTACAACTGGCTCTGCAAATCCTCATTTATCAACCAAAGTACAAATTTAAAAACTGATCTGTGCCAACACACAGCATGGCTTTACAGCCCTATCCCCAGTTCCACAGCTCCAGTGAGGAGCTGGGTAACTTTCACTGATTGAGTTCTTTGCCACCTATTTTTATTTCCTTGTTCTAATCAATTAAACAATAAACACACGGGATGGACACAGTCCTGCTCTGGGCCTTAAATCACATGGAAAGGATGGAGTGGCCAGCTAATGGTTTTCATTTATTTAGTTCTTTGCCAGCTATTTTTTCCTGTTTGTTTTAATCAAAAGTTGCATTTAACAGAGGGCAGTCAGCAGACACATCCATGTGATGGCACTGAAGGTCTTGCACATGTAATATTTGTAATATCTATAATATTTCTTTGATTTCCTTCCAATCCTTTTTTTCTTGTAATCTGCAATATTTCCTTGCATTTCCTTCCTTCCCTGCCCTGCTGTGCAGCACATCCACTGCTTCCTGCACATCCCACCTGCCTGGAACGTTCTACCTGAGCAAACACTGGGATGTGCAGAGGCAAATTCCTGTCCAGGTTGTGTTGTGAGCATTTTCTCTCTTATCTCCATCAAATAACAGCCAACATCATTAATTTCTGCAGCCAAGACAGGCCAGGGACAGGGGGTTGGATTCAGCTGTTTCCTGAGCCAGATATGTGGTAACTGAGAGGTGTTTTAAGAACTTTTATTCCATTTTCAGTCTCATGAGAAGGGTGAGGCAGATATTATAATATGGATATTATAATACAGTTAATATAATATGGGTATTATAATTCACACCATCACAATCAGAAGTTAACTATTTCTTAATTATGACACACTGTAAGCATTTCTTGGCTATCAGCTTTTGCCACACCATGCTGTGAATGCCTTAAAGCCAATAATCTAAAATTACCCCTTGTGTGTCCTACCACAATGCATCTTTCACAGTTCTATTTCTCCAAAGTATCCAGTCTTTTTTGCAAGGCCATTCTTTGAAACTTTTTTCTAGTTCAATTTTTCTCTCAACAATGTCTGTCCTGTTCCATGGCATTTCTCAGTCAGCATTCCTTATCTCCAGGTTTGCACACGGACGCACCCATTGTGCGAGCCTATAAATTCATTCCCTACAAACTCATTTCCCAAAGGGATCTGCGCAATCCCCCAGCGGTCCCCTGAGTTCAGACTTCAAACCCAAGGGCTCCTGCAGTTTTCCCCGGGCACAAAGGCACACAGGGATGCAGCCACGTCCTACCTGTGGGTCGGAGAGCCGCGAGATGTCGGGGTAAAGGTAGAACTTGATGCCCTCGGAGGCGCCGGGAAGCGTCACCCCCCGGATCAGGAGGATCATCAGCATGATGTAGGGGAAGGTGGCTGTCACATACACAACCTGGGGGGGAAACAAACAGCAGAAAAGGACCTTGTGAGTTTTGTGAGTCCTGTGAATTCTGTAAATTCTGTGAATTTTCTTCCAGCTGCAGCAAAACCAGCTTCTTGTCACACCCGCTGGAGGAAAAGTGCTTTGGGTGCCTTTGTGCAGGTGGTTTTGTGTCGGGGTCTGTAGCTGGTCAGAGTGACCCTGAGAAATATTATAAAGTCTCTTTTCCCAGACCAGAGCTCGAAGAAGGAGTCAGAACTCTTCAGTTCTTGGTCTCAAGGTTGTTTATTGTATTTTATCTATAAAATTCTTTCCCCTGCCCTGCTGAGGTCCGTCCAGCAGGACAGTTCCAAGCACTCTGCCTGCCCCTGCGGTGGCGTTATCTTTTTATACTAAAAATTACACATATAATATTTACAATTACTTTCCAATACCCATCACCTGTGTCAGACAGTGAGCTTCTACTCTAAACCAATCCAAAAGTGCCAACATCATGGCAGAAGATGGAGGCCAAGAAGAAGAAGGAGCAAGGCTGGACACACCCAGATTCCTCCATCTTGCCCCCTGAACCCCCATTCTAAAAACCCCAAGATCTACTTTTCCACCTTGTGTTAAATTCACTGTCATTCTACTTAATTTGTCATGGCTTGCAGATCTCCATCTGAGGTTGGTCATTTGCTCCATGGGGCATAATCAAACCCACAGGGGCATTGTGGGCTCTGTGCCAGGGTCTCTGAGCCCCTCAGGGCAGCCAGAGGGATGTGCTGGCTCCTGACAGTTTGTGTCCCCCAACCTTATTCCCTTCTAAACTCCTCAGGGTTTGTGGGAGATGTCAGCACTTTTAATAGAGATTAAGTTCTCTGCAAGTGTATTATTTCCAAACACATGATAACAAGTAATTAATTACATCTTTTATAATAATACGAGCAATGGATTATCAGTCACCCCAGAATTACTAAACTGATTTCCCTTCAGACCACTCTGCCTGCATGTCTGGGTTTCAGGAATAAGCATTTCATGAAGCCCAAAGGTTAAATTCTGCCCATATCTCCTTGGTATTTGATATAGAATCCATATCTTACAAAGAAGCTTCAGGCAAAATGTCTGAGGTGCTGAACCCCAGCAATTTCTATTTTCATATACTTGGCCACGTTTTTTCCCCCCTAAAAATTAGTTTGTTCTCTGCATGGAGAAGCAACAGGAAACCTGCAAGAAGTCACATTTTCCAAAGGAAAAATAGAGTAGAATTTGTTCTATTTCACAGTCCCAAACCTAAGAGTGGCACGTGGCTTCTCAAACTCAGAGAAGGAATAAAGAATTAATTCCATGGCACTAACAATAATTTCTTTATGTGACAAACACCTCTCTATAAATTTAACTCTCTCATTTCCACCTGTGTTGCTCTTACACCTGCTTTGAACCAGTCAAAATTAGTTGAGCTACAAAAATGGAAAAAAATCATTTGGTGTAAAAAGACAACCTCAAAAAAAAAATATGTTTTAAACTGAGGTTTAAAACCAATATCTGCCTCCTATGGAAATGAGAGGGAGACATCAAAGAATGACCTGTGAAAGGATTCTCAGACTTATTGTTGTAATTAATGAAATGAAGTTGGATTTTCAGACTATTTAACCCCAAATATTAAATGCTCTCATGTTCCTCATCAGGTACCCTCAAAAATGGAGGAACTCTTCCTTCAGCAGGTGAGTGCACTGTGCTCAGAGAGAGCCATTAATTCCCATTTTCTCCCCCTCCCCAGGAGCTCCTGAGGTGAGGCAGGATGGGGAATTTAGGAATCAGTGCCGCTATTAGCATCATCATCACATCTGGGGGGCATTAAAAGTTTCCTGAATTGTTTTCTTTTCTTTCAACACATCGAACCTCTCTGAATATCAATGTGAACACAACTGTTTCTAATTACACCACATCCTGTTTTAATTGACTTTAATTGCTTGCTATGTTAATTTGCATCCCAATGCTCAAAATGCTTTTTTTAAACCCTTGTCAGAGCCAAGCCAATGTTTAAGCAGTTGGAAACGAAATAAAAAATTTCTGGCAGGCAAGTTTCTGCACCAAGTTCTCCACTCACAATGTGCTGGAAAGAAAAATTGACAATGATATTTAGACATACAAGTAGGTGGAAATGCACCCATCAACTCTGAACTACCCTTGGGTGCTTCACGGAAAGTACATTGGAACCAAAGATCCTGAAAATTGATATTTTATTGGCTGCCACGAGCTTTAAGTATCAAAGAATAGAAAATAAATTGAGTAGCAAGGACTGGAAATTTAAATACCAAAACCCTAAAGAGACTTAGGTGTCACTCAAGGTTAATATAGAGATATTATATTAAGGTACCTATGAAATGATTTCATGAGTGAGGCACCATAAAGATTTTGAGAACCGAGCTGGGTTTCAGTTTTATCTTTTCATGCCTAAATATCTCAACAGCACAGACAGTGGTCTGTGCTCCAGTTTGTCCCCTGGGAGTGCTGAACTTCTTGTCCTAAATGAAAAGGTGTTTTTGTGAACACTCCAGGCAGACCACGCTGCAAGGTGAGGGGATCTGGATTTTGAGGAAAAATAGAAGAAATTGAGGATAACCCTGCTGAGATTGAGGAAGATTTCCATGCAGTGAACTGAGCCCCAACCCATGGAGATCTCAAAGCCCCAAATCAGATTTCTTTAGCCAAAACTCCTGCAGGGCACAGCAGCCTGAAGCTGTGAACCTTCCTTCTTTGCTTGGCTTTTCCTGAGAACAAGAATTCCTGAGCTAAATATCACTTGGAGGCCTGGAAAGTGATGGAATTCTCCCCTGCAAGCTGCAATGTTCAATGTTTGCACTATTGGGATCTATAAGGGTTTTATAAATGGGATAAAATTTATCTTGATGCTTCAGAAAATTACTGTCCCCTGAAACCCTCCATTGCTCCACTGAGCTGTAAACATGAGGAATATCAATGCAGGAATTGCCAGAGGTTTGCCAGAACTCACTATTTAGGTGTTTATGGAAAATCAGATCTGCCCCCGTGTCCTGCTCATCCTTATTTTTCAGAGGGTTTTAATCCTGGTGTAATTTAATTTTATTTATTTATTTATTTATTTTAAACCATGAGCATGGAGAACCAGAGCAAAACCCCAAATGTGCCCACAGTGCACAACACTCCTGTATGGAGAAACTACTCAGGAACCAAAATTTCACCCAGCAAGGCAAGAAGGAAAAGAGTAATTTTTTATC